CGGGCACGTGAATGATTTAGGCCGGCCCTGAGTTTGAATCCCTGAGCTCTGCTACCTTCACAATTTCACTTGAACTCATTACATGTCTACTCATTTATCGGTCTCTGGAAAAAATTTTTGGCTGCCTTTTTCTCCATATTTATACAGAAAAATATAGGATACGTTTGTATAAAGTTGGAGAAATGAAAAACCAAGAAAATATTTCTGTTAATTTCTTATTTTGTTGTCTTGCTTCTATTTTTCACCCCCAAAAATAATTTTGAGAGTTAAAAATTCCACAAGTACCTACGCTGTCAGTTTTTCTTGAAGATAATACAAATTTGTAGAATTTTCCATAGGGACTGAAAATGGGACTTAATATAATATGATTTTAATTGAATTCCAAATGAGAAGGAGCTCACAATTATTTTTTCTAACGTACATAATTTCAGTTGCTGTGGAAAGGCCATGAAAGCTCAAAATGAACAATTTCCTTACATTATTGTTATATAGCAAAATATATATTTAGGGCTGGTGATATAATCGACGAAATACTTCTCCATTCTGACTTTGTATCATAAATCATTCAAAAATTTTTTGTAGTCAATTGAAAAATCAAATTTGCATTCAATTAGTGCTGAAGTCGGAATTGAGAAGTCGGTCAACGATTACAAAACCCACCCACCAAGATTTATATTTAAATCTACCGGTAATATAACGGGTTATCATTGAGCACATTAAAAAATGAATATTTACAAGTATGAAAGCGGTGTATGCAATAATTTGAGCGAATGGAAAGCATTTCGAAAATACAGAGTGGCGCTGTTACTCCAGATCACATCTAGACGAAAATTAACATAAAAAACAATATATTTTCACGGAAGCATTATCAACAAAGGACGTGTTCTAGAACTAAATCTCATCAAAGTTTTTCCCCTCTCGTTAATCTGAATATTGGTTATGGAATAAAATCTATTGGACCCCCCAAAAAATGATTTTCATCATTCTGAAATCAAGACTTATTGAGGTACCTACGTGCAACAGTCAATCTAGGAAAAAAATTTGAAGAAATTCATCAACTTCAAAGAAATCAGTTGATCAAGCAGCCAAATCATAAATGAACTGAGGGAATTACTCACAAATGCTTTGTACACCATCTACTTCATCTACCTCACGGGGTACCACAAGGTTCAGTACCAGACCCCACCCTATTCCTCCTTGCACATCAACTACTCAAAAACTATTGAAATGAAGGGTGGAGTCACTTTTCAGAATGCATTACAATATTATGGCATGAAAGCCATATTACAGCCCTTCACAGTGCCATTTGCTCAAGATTCCTGTCAAAAATTTCAAATTTTACTACCACACTCCCTTGCTTCAAGAAAAACTCTTGTCTGAATGTTATGCATTCATTTGTGAAGATCCATTTGAGATATGGAGTTGCTTTCAGTGTCGAACAAAACTTTGTCGTTGTATGCGATTTTCATGGAAGAAAAAGTTTGTTTTTTGGATGAAAATACATCAGAAATTTTCTCGCATGCCTTCATGTAACACGTCAAAAGCTCAACTTGAATCTCCTCTCACCCTTATCCACCTCAATTGGAAATTAAGTAATGAGCAAAGGTTTCAATGTATATAATTATTTGCAATAAACAATAACGAGTTCCGAGAAGCTATCAAGTGATTTCTTTTTGGTAGGCCAATATTTTCTGATGATAACTTCAACTAGGTGTCTGAACATATATGAGTATTTTAATCTCTCAATATATTAATTCTAGTGCTGGAATATGTATAAATTTGTTTTATATTTCCTGTCTTGATGTGTTTCTTATTGTCACTCATTAAACTCCTTCTTTGCAAATTTTGCTTTGTCAGTAAAAGTAGCTCTTCGGACAATGAAGCATATTTCTTCATCATTATGATATTACAATATTTATCGATTTACACATCTCTGTTTTAGTTTCAGTAATGATTTTAATTTTCCAGAGAATTGTGTAAATTATTATGGAATTCAAGGCATCTCTAATACTTTGCTTGTATTAAACGGTTTGATGTAATTACATGGTTGAATTCATGGGGTCTTTTACCTCGTGTGGTCACCTGGATCAACACTACAATAATAAGACCTATGTTGAAGTACGGAGCCATTGCATGGGGAAGTTCTACAAGCAACGTCCATCCAAAAATTATATCAAATACAGCGATTGACTTGTTTAAACATCACAGGAGCCATGAAAACAACACCAACCGCAGCAATGGAATTAATTACTGGTTTGACCCCTATGGACTTGTACGTTAAGGAGATTGCGTTAATGGCCATGTTACGATTGAGCAGGGCTGGTGTGAACCTTGAAGCAGGAATAGGTCAATTGAGGCTAAGTCTATGGTGAGAAGCGCTTACTGCACAACCTCTGCTGCAGGCATCCAGTGATGCAATTGAACCTAGGTTTGTGTTCAATAAACCCTATGAAATACAAATGAAACAGAACATAAAGTCAGATGATACAAATGCAATACGCATATATACAGTCTCAAAAACCAAAGAGAGCTCAGGATGTGGAGTTTACTTTAGATCACTAAGTCTGAGGATTAAGTGTGGAATGGGAAAAATACCAGCGTGGTCCAAACAGGACTGGCTGGTATATCAATCGCCACAAAAAAAAATAATCAGGACAGGAATTTATGGCAAAAACATGACGAATGCACTGATAATAGACAAGCCCTATTGGCCTTGAAGAGACAATGTGTCACCTCAGGGCTAGTACTAGAGTGCCACCAAGATTCAGTCAAAGCCTCGGCAGATAATAACATTATCCTGAGGTGGGTTTAAGGGCCCGACAGGAGTGAATGTAATCGCATTGCCGACTATTTAGCCAAGGAAGCGACTGGACTAAAAATTTTAGGACCCAGAGGCCCTTACGGCCTGATAACTTCGACAATTGCGGAACTAGCCAAACGTCACACCCATGCTTAGTCCCTAAAGAGATGGGATGGAATCAAAGGAAGCAGTCTTGCCAGGATTACCCTGGGCGATCCTGGGAAGCTAGGGCCGAAGAAATATCTGGCGATGGCCAGGAGAAACCTACGCTTTACAGTGGGATTTCTAACTGGCCACTGTCAACTAAGGAAACACCTCCATATTTTGGGGCAGGTCGACACACATATGTGCATGATGTGTGAACAGATGAAACAGTCAGGCATGTCATATGCGAGTGTCCGGAGGTATCGTCAATAAGAGAGTGTGTGTTCGGCGAGTCTTGGCCTACAGGTGCCGATATGAAGGAGGTGTTTCGTAGTCCACCTCCCTGGAAAGGACGGGATGGACGATGAACTAGGAGGACAACTCCTCAGGAGGATGTACAATGGGTCACACGTGGGCTAAGTGCTATGGACCTGCAAACCCTCCCTCCAGAAGGTTTAATTCAGAAAACGGTAGGTTGGATTTGCATTCTTCAAAAGCCTATGGAACAAACTTCATATTCTTGGGAATGAAAGAAAGCAATCAATTCCAAAAAGGTAACTCTGTAAAGATGTGTAGGTCATTCACAGTACAATATAGAATTTTCCAACATAAAATTGTTAATTGTGATTAATTTTCTCTACTTTGAACAGATCCCCGATTAGGCTAGTTATTTGCATCGATTTTACTTTTGTCTGTTCTTATAAAAAATATTTTATGATGATCTCATGCCTCTTCAGGATATTTACTTATAGGTTTTTTCTACTCCCACTACCACTGCCTTGTTGTATTTATTTACCATTTGATGTTTTTTTCTATTGTACTCTTTGATTGCACATTTGAGGTAAATGATCATTATTATATAATTATTATTAGAATAATAGACAGATCAATTCTGAACTGTTGGGATTTTGAAGAGTACAAAAATATTGAAATATGGTACTATTTCAGAAACAGTTTTTGAAATCAAAAGAAGGGTTTTAGCTTCAAATTTTAATTTGAAAAAATAAATCGCAGTATTTCACCACAACCCCACTCATTCAGCTTAAACTCTGCTTGTTACAATACTTGATTGACTTGATTTCTCCATGATCTCGAAATATTTAATATTTGATCCATGTTTTTCATTTTGTTGAAAAAACAATTTTCAAATCCGCCAAGAATCTGTCCGGTTAGTGAAAATGAAAATTCATAATTGAAATCATTTCAAATTGACACACTCCACTAGTTTGTCGAGCATGAGTCCCAAATAATATCAAAAATATGCCATATTTCCGTTCCAGAACACTATGAAAGTACTATTCAATAATTCGATTTAATCAGCAGCTTCTAAAAACGCCTGTTTTATCATTTCCCCGTCTTCATAAGGTTTCTTTTTTTGTGCAATTTACTGGGACACACGGTACGATGCTTCAGTTGCAGCCTTACTTTTGTCGACTGTTCTTAAAGATATTGATTGTTGCCCAATTAACTGCTTTTATAACTGTTTCAGTTTCTCCTTTCTGGCGGCAGAATGTAGTGGGAATGATTTTTCAAAATTAGAATGTACAGTTTTATGATGTCTGTCAATATTTCCTTTTTTAGCAACGGAGACTGAAGTATTACATAACAAACACACATTTTCATCTTTAACTTCTGTAAAAAAGTATTATTCTTCCCATTCCGAATGAAAGTGGTATGTCTTTACCTTCAACAACAAAAATAATTTTATGGATTAATATTATTTTTGTTGTTCTCTACTAACCCAACTGCTGGATGTTGGTTACGCGTTCAGTTTTAAACTAAGCGCAATGTCGCCGCGCCGTGCGTATTTATCCCGTTCAAAGCAATCCAGATCGTTCTCGAACACTAACGCGCTGGTCCGGCTGGTCGGTTCTAGCCGATTCTAGCTTGATGGCGTCAGCGGCAGATAGCTCACCGCAACATTGCCGCTGTTTATGTTTAATATTATGACAATTAGATTTTTTTGAGTAATTTTCGGAAGCTTCTCTGATTTTTGCAGTTTGTATTTTTTAAATTAGAATCGTTGTGAGAGCTACCAGAACTGGCGACCACTGGTCTATGCTATCATGTATAATTTGATTTCAATTTCATCTGGGGCATCTGGATGATTCAGGCCGGCCCTGATGTCAAATCTCTGATCTCTTGCTACCTCCACAATTTCACTAGAACTCATTACAAACTTATTTATTGATTTCTGGGAAAAATGTTTCTTGGCTTTCTCCTTCTGTATATTCACACAAAACAATTTTGAGAACTTCTGTTTTGAGACGGAAGAGTTGAAATCCCTAAAGCTCTTTCACCAAAAACTAATCTACTAATGAAAACACAGCTTCCATTCTATATTTATTTGAATAATCATCACTCATTCATCTTCTCTCATCGTAGATTCTGAGTGTGTTGATATGATTCCAGGCAATTCAAATCCTGTCATATGAAATATTTTCTTCATTCGTGAACCGATGAACCTCGTCACTGATTTTGGTCTACAATAAGTTAGGCCACTCTCCTGCAGATACTGAACTGATACCTGCTTCGCTAATGATTAGTTGGTTTGTTCAAAGCGGTTCAGCCGAAGTAAATTTTCCAAAATGTTGTGTTATCAACAAGTTCTGACTTGAGTTGGCTTGTCTTCAGTGCTGGCGTTCAATTAGACCCCCAGTAGTAGCATGAAGGTTGCAGAAGATTATTTTGTGATGATTTGTTGTATGTCTTTTCAGTTACGAGCCTGAAGGTTGAAGTGCTGACGATGACATACTTGTCTCGTCATTCCAAAGGGATTCCAGGACAATGGCTGCAGATTACATCTTCACCGGCAGAAGAAGGTTGCATAGCTTATTGAGGATCTAGAAACGATTTTTAATTGGTGTTAAAGTGACCAGGTTCAATTCAATCCTAAAAAATCCAGGCATCTGTTTTCTCCAGAAAGATTAATGTCTCCGAAATGGATATAATAAGGATTCTCCTGTAGTAGGTACTTGTGTTTTGTCCTTGAAAAAAGTGGCATGTCCTGGAGTTATCTTCAGAAGAATGAGTTTGTGAGTTGTGGTGTTGTGTTCAGTTCAAAATATATACACAATTTTTTGCATGAATTCATCCTATATAACATCAAGAGATGAAAGAGTAACAGTGCCAGCTTTATCAATCTGAACACTGGAAAACAGTATTCCTATACCGTATAAAAAGTTGAATTTGAGTGGATTTGTGGAGATTGATGCCGCAACTTAGAAATACATTTCATTCAGTAAGTACCTTAGCTTTATCTTATTAAGAGTTTCAAACTTTGATCCTCACATTCTTCTACGTTATGGGAATTCTCCTTATCCTAAAAGGATTTGAGATAATTTGGATTACTAACTGAAAGGAAAACCGCCAAAGAATGGAAAACTAGTGAAAAGAAATTTGGTATTATAATGAAGCGCATTATAAAATTAAAAGCGGTTTGATTGGGAGAGATATTACCGTGCTGGCAACGATAATTGGCTCACAAGTTCCTGATTCAAAGTAGATCTGATGAACATGACGAAAAAGTTACTCGTTTTCAATGAAAATGTCTTAATGAAAGAGAGTATTAATGAACGAAAAATTATTGCAGCTAGTGGCCTCAGGATGAAATGTAGAAATCATTATTTGGGAAATATTCAGTGTCGAATGGAAATATTATACACTATCACATGATGGTCCACGATAATAACTACATAATTTTAACAAGAAAATTATTGGACCGCCTCTCGCTTCACGGTATCTCCATCAGTTACTGGAGACAATATGGACTGCTCAAATTATCATTGTTTCTCTGAAGAGTGATAACGTCTATTCCTAAACTTTCCTCTGCTATTTTCGAATTTTTCATCAAGACTGACCAGTAAGCTGCTTTTGAAGATTATCGATATCAACAGACTGTGTTTCATAGATAACAGATTCATGATGCCTCCAAAAAATTTGATCACAGTTGAATTTTTTGATCTGAGATGTCACTGAAAATTTTTTTTTTCTGCTGATTCATTTTTCCCAGAAAAGTTTGTCCAATCGATATGATAGGAAGGAAAATAATGAACTGAGGTGCCTTTTTTTCGAAATGTAGGACTGCAAAACGAAATCACCTTCTATATCAATTTGAGTGCATACCTCATGAGTTGTTAGAGGACCAATAGACACTTGAAAAATGTTGAGGTCCAGTTGACCTGTTAATAATGAAATTTTCGAATTCACCAGTCAAAAAAATTACCTTTTCATAGCTGTTGTGGAATTATTTTCGCTGGAAAAGTGTGCGGCGGCAACAACGAATCGTTTTTCCGGCTCGGAAAATTCTCATCAAATCATCTAAAGGAACAATTTGTTCATGCCAGTCTTCTCTTACCTACTGACACGTATCAGAAAACAACTACTCCCCTGACTAATACCACAAATAGCGTTGGATTATGTCCGACAGGTGTCCGTTTGGGATTCTTCACAGAGGTAACTCTTGCATATACTTTTGGCGATACGACTACCGGAATCGATTCTCAATTATTGAAACGGGCACACTTGCAGACAGGTTTCGGGTTCTTTGGCCTCTTGTCAGTGCAAGGTATTGTCCTACATTAACACGAAGTCGATGATTTCCCGTAATTGAAAATCAAATTGTTTCAGAGTATCATACCTCGAACAAAGTTGAAGCGAACGACAAGTAACATATCTGCCTGTAGACGAGGTACTAACTAACCGCATATCCGAATGGCTCGAATCTTCGTATAAGGAAATAAATTTCACTTATAGTAAGTGGGCATATTTGAAGACTGGCTATAAATCAAATCATTTAAAGCAGCGGTCGTCACACTTTTTTGGCCAAGGGCCACACATAAAAATGTGGGTGTCAGCGCTAGGCCGCAGAGTATGTGACGGCTTCATATTAAGTCGCATGACAGCCGCGCTTCTCTTTTTAGTATGAAAGTCGCGCGGCAGCCGCGCAACCTGATGTGAAGGCACTCTAAAAGCTTTTGCCCACCTGAATCTATTCAGTTCATTGATCATTTCGCATCAGCTGTGCCCGCGACGTTGTTCGTGTGGGAGGTGATATCGAAAAAAGTACTCATACTGATTGTTCATTAGAATATTCCTTGGAAAAAAATAATTTTCAAACATATATAGGTAGGTGAGTAATAATTGAAAACGTTCAACACCATAATTATACATTCTGTTGTATATCATGCCCGAAAGAAAAATAACGTCGGCCGCCACTGGTAGCTAAAAACCAGTCGTAATGTAGCTGAAAGCGCGCGAATGAACGATGTCCGTTGCTACTCTAGATGAGTTGAATAATATTCTGCTGTATTCGATTACGATATATAAACGCTAGCCACGAGCATATCGATACAGTCAAGTGGAACTTACAGTGCGGTACGCGAAGCGATGTAGTAAGTCGATAGAAATTTGAATGATAGTTGGAGTGTTTATTGTATTTGAAGTGAAATGAAGTTAAGTTGGATTATTCAGTGTAGTCAATTATTGGTCACCCACGGGGAAAAACGTAACCATACCTATTTATAGTAACGAATTTGGTGTTCAAAGTTTTTGATTGATTCTTGTATATCGGCATCAATGAGTGGAAAGACGTTTGCGGTATTGGTTGATTGGAGATATGTTGAAGAAAACAAATCGTGCACATTCTTGTGGGGATTTAGAGGTACTTGCTACGGTGTTCAATGAAATAAGCTTCCAGAGGTGTGTCGTGTTTCAGTTCAATGATTTCATTCATTGACTGTGTTATAGAACAGCCAAACTGGCAGAATAATTTCATGCCCAAGGTTTTCCACAAGTATAAAACAGTCTCGCATTCTAAAATATATTTTGAATTTTTAACAGATATTCTTTCAAATATGACATTATATCTTGATAGACAGTACTGTCGGGATTGCAGAGCAGCAACAGTTGGAAAATTCGAAAAATCTCCTGCTTCAAGCTCATTCATGTATAATTTGAGATTGTATTCAAATGCGAACACTCTATTCGTCATTTACCCATTTATTTTGTTAGGTGCTTGCATCTTGAAATTAAGACTATTGAATTTCATAGTAATATCGGCCAAAAAACCACAAGTGGCCACCATTCCTTTTGCTGTAGTTGAGGATATCCTTTGCCACTTTGTTGTAAAAAAACTATTATTTTCGTGTGTTTTAAATGAGAGAACAATTCTAATAATTTCCCTTTGCCTAACCAACTGACGACCGTATGTAAATTTTCAAGCAGGTCTTACATAGTAGGTTCATGGACTGACACTTATCAGAAAATAACCACTCCCCTGGCTAATACCACTCCCCTGGCTAAACAGTGGAGACGGGAGTGGGTTAACCAAATTAGCAAATTTTGAATAGAGCTTAATGGGCGCCAGGTAAATTTAATCCTCCAGATACCCTAATTAAATTACAATATCAATAACTTAGCAATTAATATTGGGAATGGAAGATAAAGATCCCCAATATGATTTATTCAGTAAACCTAACTTACATAGATTGATCGACAACGCTTCTAAGACAACAATGCGATATTCACACTACTACGCGATGTTCAAATGTCAATATAAGTGCGCGTTGTATATAACCACAAATTCAATGTGGGCGAAATCGTAAATACTAGTATTGGAAGGTAAGACAATCTCGTTTGCGTCGCGTGAGCTCAGGCGTAGGCGCATCGGTGTCAACAAGCAATTGTAAAATGAAAAAAACACCTCAATTTGCGTTTTAGAAATGAAACCAAACACGTTGCCAACTAGCGGTGAATTGAGCCAGAAAGGCAATCACTATATCAAACAGGTAACAATAAACAAAAGGGCAAACTCATCTGACAGCTAACCAGTTGTTGCCACAGTGTATCCAATCTACACTACAAGCACCAAGGGGGCGCTGTGCACATCATAAATCTATTAATTCCACCACAGCCACTCGAGACATCATCAACAAATCCATGACCCATCAACAAGTCCATGACCCATCAACACTCCTTCTCCCAGCAATACAACCTTAAAACAATTTGAGTAACCGATCAATCCCTCGCCCGTGAACGACTATAGAACTAGTTCGGCAGATGTCAACCAACAGCTGTCTCTTAACCTTGTGTTATTGAATGTTTACAAAAATATTGACTCCAACTTATTTTCAACTATTTATTGATCCTTATTCATGCGATGGAATAGAAACATATAAGGTAAGTCGCCACATCTTTCCCATTCAGTACGAATATTTGAACAATCATAAATATTATGCAGAATATTTACCGAAAATATCAAACAGTATTCAGAAACCCAGAGCTAACTGATATTGTTTTTCAGGCGATATGGCTCTAATATGTAGTAATCCTTCTGGAAGTGATGAATAACAATCTATGCAATAAATATTCTTGGAAAGGTATAGAGATAAGGCAGACAACGGCTGAAAAATGATAGGTGAAGTAACTGAGAAACAAGCAAAAACAACTATTTCAACCTAGCGAGGAATTTCGGATCTCCAACGTCCATTGGCAATAGGAGAATGCGATGTGAGTGATAAGTACTGATCAAAGCAGTTAGTCAGAGAGCATACATATATTCTTGTACATTACAGGTATGGTTTTCTATGGAACGGAAGATTCCCATTACTATGATGTTGAATGAATAAATCAACTTGTAACTGAATTACATTGGTAACATCCTCTGAATGAATATCTTAAAAGGTAAGGTAGTGTTTTGATAGGTCACATAGGAGCAGTTTTGATCTAGTGCTAAATTGAAACGTAACAAGGTGTCAGTCTATGAACCTACTGTGTAAGTAAGGGAAAACTGGCTTGAACTAATTGTTCTTTCACAACATTTGATTTAAAACTAGTCTTCAAGTGTGCCCACTTAAAATGGGTACAATCATGATCACCAATATAAATATTTGTTGAAAAACTTTCTTCAACGCCAACTAATGAATATGCAATAATCTTACTCTTTACTGTGGCACTCCTGAAATCTGCATAATTTTCCATAGCGTTGACGTATCCAGGAATCGTTGACTGACATGTTAGAGTAAGCTGGCCGTCTTCCCCCAAGTGGAGGTCCGACACTTCGATGGAGAGCTGCTTGATGGAGAAGGCTTTCTGGTCAAAATATCCATGTCCGTGGATCAACCCATTCGAGAATGATTTGGTTAGTTTATCGCTCACCTAAACAAAAACAAAAACTGAATTGACACGTATATAACATGGCAAATAGAAAGCTATTCCGACGGATACGGCATATCGTATCCTTTTCAAATAATTGGTAAGTTGCTTTGAGCATAAGTTATGAGTTATACTATAAAATTGAAATTATTATTTTAGGAGGCATCGCAAAATTAAAACTGTCGCTTGAGAATGAAAAATTAAGCGGTATGAAAAACTGACGTGGATAATGTTGTTAAACGTCCGCTTTCACAAATCACCACCCTTAATGAGAAAATATTCATGTTCGAGTGTAATCGTTTCAAATAAACATTATTCCGGATTCTATCTGAAAAAACTCATGTGTCCAATTCAGTTTTTTCATTCCTTCTTAAGGTAGTTCGAAAATTTTCTACAAAAACTGATCTCTTTTTAACAAACTAATTTATTTTCGCGAAAATAGAGTGTATTTTTCACAACTGCTGGTATCTTCCAACAGAACACTGTCCATAGAATATAAGGCCAAATGTATTCATGGAGATAAAACAATTATTGTCTAATTAACAGAAAATATTGAATGCGCTGGACCATTCATTTTAATTTTGATGTACCCACAAAATGAGTGAACAAATTTCATGTAAATATCATGAGGTTATGAAGTAAATACATGAATATATTTTCCATAATTAGTAATTTAAAATTATCACGAGGTAGTCATTTGAACCGCAATAATGAAATGATGATACAATAATAAAATATTGAAGCTCAAACATCGAATGATTAGATTTTGTAATCAAACTATAATTTGAAAATGAGAAAATACCTGAATTCAGAATTTAGTGGAAAATTACAAGGCTGAAATGTTCGCATGAATGTTTAAGGCTTTTATAGCGGATATATTAGGTTCTACTGATGAGAAATTTATCGGAATGCTTGGAAAGATGGTGTCGGTTGGAGGTCAGAGGAGTGATTTGTGAAACGTGCAGACGAGCGTTGTCATGGAGCAGCATTCGATCTCTTCTGTTGAATAGTAACAGCTGCTGCTGACGCAGTTTTTGGCACATTCCGCCGATTTCTTTACAATAGACTCTCTTGCTCATGGGTTTTATCTTTTCTCAGCAACATAATGCAGTGTGTCTCGTTCAAATTTGACAAAGGTGATATTTATTCATCTTGAACATCAGAAATGAAGTCGATCCAGCTGGGAGTACCCCAGGGATCTATACTTGGGCCACTCTTATTTCTATTATATATCAATAATATAGACAGGAAAATACCATATTCTGCAGTAACTGCTTATGCAGATGATATTAGTCTGGTGATATCTGCCAAAGCGACGAATGAATCAACAAGAAAATGTGAATATTCTCTGGATGTGGTTTCAAACTATTTCAATAGTCACGATCTGTTTTTCAACGTGAAAAAAACCCAGGTAATCCGCTTTCACAACTATCAAAGTAAAATCGATGATATTCAGGTGACTTTATTTTGAGAAATACCCATGATGCTGTTGAATTGCTAGGTATGCAAATGGATGAAAGTCTTTCTTGGAATGAGCACTGTGATCAACTAGTCTCAAAATTGGGCTCCATAACCTATCTTTTCATCAACTTATGGCTGTTTATCATGTCCAGGTCGAATCCAGGTTGCGGTATGGTGTTTGTTTGTGGGGCAACTCTGCAAAGAGTAAAAATGTATTTATCCAACAAAAAGCTATCCTACGCTGTTTATTCAATAATGTTCCTCGACAGTATTCATGCAGAAACATTTTCGCTACACACGAAATTTTAACTCTGGATGGAATATATATTTATGAGTTGTCAGTTTATGTTTTCACTAACAGGAATGACCAATCTCAATAACGATATTCATGATACAAACACTCGGCAGAAGCAAATGATACACGTTAGATCGGCTGAGTATAAGATAACTCAAAGTGCACCAAAACGTATAGGACCCAAAATTTACCAAATAAATTGAAGTCAATATGCAGCTTTTCGTTGTTTGAAAAAAACATTTCAATAATTTCTGTTAGAAATATGTTTTTATACCCTTGACGAGTTTTCAAATACAAAATTCCCTACTCTGTGTGTATTAATTTGTTTCAACCATTGTTTGCTGTTTTCATTCAGTGTTTTTATACTTCAGTTTAGCGTACACTATATTTTGTTTATATTCTTATATTCATAGGAAATTTATGTATTTTATTTTATACTTACTAGCTTTGTCAACAAGATTTTTTCTTCGGACAATAAAGTCTTATTATTATCATTGTTATGGTTTGGCTCAGTTGCAGACTACGACTCTGCCGACCTCTAAAAACCTGCTTTGCTCCCCAGCGGGGGGCACAAAGTTTCATCATTTTCCAAGCAGAGGTGACACACACTGTCTTCCGACACTCCAAGTCTCTGAATTTGATGATTCAAATGACAGTGACCTGTGAGAAGGCCTATTAGACATCGTAGTTCATCCTTACTGTAGTCCAACAACTGTTTGGTATCTGGCCCGATGAAGCTGCTTGCAGCACCCTTCTTTGCAAGGGAGTCAGAAACCCCATTGCCTTCCACCAGGAAAACTTACTTCCAGAGACTAACCGTCGGGAGAACCCCTTCAAGCCCAAAAACTCCACCAGCCAACTGAGATTGAGACTATTCATGAACTGCAACAAGTCATTCGCATATATAAGAAACAGTAAGGGGCCAAGAATTGAGCCTTGTGGAACACCCTGTTCAATGGTTACTGACTGACTTACAGTTTTCCGTATGCAAATAAGAATTCATTAATTTCAATGCGATTCCCCTCACGCCATATCGTTCCATTTTCTGAAGTAGAAGTATGTGGTTTACATTATCGAAGGCTCTGAAGAAGTCAATTAATAAACCACATGTACTTAGTTTGCCATCAAGAGCGTTAATGACATGTTCGTGGAATTCAAACAGTGTCGTTTCAGTACTTTTGTTCTGGGTGAAACCATGCTGATTTGGTGAAAATTGTTCATTAGTATAAAAAAATTATAGTGATTGCTTATTCCTTCATAATTCTCATAAAGATCAGTATCTCCTTTTTTAAATATTGGTATAACGAGTGCAGCTTTCAATTTTTCGGGGCTATTTCGGGGCTATTTCATGGGCTATATTCTATCGACATATTAAAGATGTACCTATGCCAAAGGTTCACATACCTGAAAAACATATTTTTTCAAAATGTTTGACATTTCTTTGTGACCACGTGCGTTGGAATTATTCAATATGTTTACAAGATCTACAATGCCATGCCTAGTTATAGGATGTAAGAAAATGGAGTTTTAGCATACTTTTATGTTACTTTCCAAAAAATTCAAGTCAATAGTTTCTTGTTTATGAGCTACAGAAACATGTTTAATGAAGTTGTTGGTCATTTCAATTTCAGGGACAGTTTTATCACCATCATGAATTATGATATTGCGTTTTTCCGGATTTGGTTAATAATTTGCCTCATTGTTCTCGATTTATTGTTCGAATTGGTTATTTTGTTATCTACACTTTGTTTGTAATTATTTAAGTTTTTCTCTATAAGTCTGCGTTATTTGCCTACTAATGACTACATAACGCTCATCAACTCTTACCCAGTCTGAGTAGAGGGACACTAAGTTTTTCAATTCTTGAAGTTCTGGTGTTAGTAAGCTGGAGTGGTTTTTTTCATTTGTTTGTGTAGTAGTTTCAGAGGAAAAGCAACTTCAATGTAATGTTGAACTATATTATGGAAAATTTCATAGGCTTTATTTGGGCAGATTTCGTTGTAGATATCCTCCCATGACTCATTTTCCAAGGAGAGTTTGAAGTTATTTATATTATTTTCCGAAAACACTCTACCGCAGCTTGAAACATTATTTACCTGTTTTTCACTTCTTATAGTCGGAATTCGAATAATTCGGGCAAAGTGATCAGAAAAATTGTAGTCCTTGATTGCCACTTCGTAGTCAATATTTTCACTGATTATAAAATGATCTAGGCAAGTACTTGAGTTAGCAGTTACCCTTGTTGGTTCATTAACAGTATATTTGAGATTAAAACTTGCTAATTGATCACGAAAGAGGTCGAGTTTCCTACTGGCAACCGAGAAGTTTATGTTGAAGTCACCACCTATGATGATGGTATTATAGTTTTGACTCACCAGAGTTAGCATTCCCATGAAAAGTTTTGAAAAATATTACCTGATGGAGGTCTATAAATACACACACACAAACCGTACTAGATTTTCTAATGTAATACCACAGTCGAGGACTCCTTCCTCGCAAAAGCCCGTTAAGTCTAGTTCATTAATTTCTAGACAACTTTCATCATGTTTGTGAATTACTACACCCCCGTTTTTCATGAAACTTCTGCAGAAGTTTGTACATAAATTAAAGTTTTTCAGTTTTATGACATCTATCTGTATTTTGTTCTGCCAATTTTCTGAGATCATTAACAGATCACGAATCAGTTAACTTCCTGTTAACATATCTATCTGAATGATTTTATTACTAATGCATTGCATGTTTTGGTGACATACAGCTAAGACACTTCCATCATTTTCACTTGGTTCACTATATTTTCTGATTTTACACCGATTGTGCTCCTCTATATTAATCTGATTCATTGTGGCGTCATTTTTGGAGCAACCTGCGAGAGCCGTGGATATAAAAAAATTGACTGAGCTTCCTCTTCTTGATTTGGTATTGTTTCCTGATGTTCAGTGGCGAGGGTTTTAGGTAGTTCAGTATAGTGCATATTAATATTTTGCTCAAAATGGTTCTCGTGTTCCTTGTTGGGTTGGCAGCAGATTTCTGTTGTTATTATTAATTTCCAAATAGCTCTACCTATATACCGCTTTCCTTTCACCGTACTGTACACATTTTGGTGGTTATTTGATTTTGTCAGAATGTTATTACATTCTAGTTTATTAGTGTTCAGCATTTTATTGTGCACCGTTTTTTTCAGTTGTAGATTCCTTAAGTATATGGATTCGTTCATTTCCTCGCAGTCATATCGAAAAGGTTGGGTAAC